TGAAAATCCAAAAGTTGAAATTCCAGGCCGCGTGGGCGGGAGTCCCTATTTTTCCCACCCTTAGGCGAGGCGCGGGGGCGCGAGGATCAGGGTACCGAATCGAGAGTGGAATGACGGTGTTTCTTGCGACTCTTCCCCCCCCCCTCCTCATAAGTTCCTTTTTCAGGACGACCCCTCTCAAAATCTGCCCACCAATTTACCTTACCAATTTCAACTCCCCACCAATTTTCCACCAACTTTTTTCAGATAAACTGGCATCGTAGAGAAGACCATGAGGCCCATGCCAGTCAACTGTTCAGGATGAGGGGTTATGTAGCACGTTTCGTGGCGTCTCCTACTAGTGGGAGGGGGTGAGGTTGATAGCGCATGAAACAGTAAAAATCAACCAGTAAAAAACAGTAAAAAGTTGGGTGCTGCCATGTCTAGTGGGCGTGCGGTGCTTTGTCGCTACTGAGCCGCGCTTTTCTCACCTATTTCTGAGCCGCGAAAGTAGAACACCTTTCAAACTCGGTAGCAGGGCTATCACACCCGGAAAAAGCATCCAAACATCGTATAAACGCAGACGTGCCTTTAAGTCCACTTCACAAATCCTTGATTGTGCCTCGGAACTGAGTAATTTGCCATTTTTGTGCGAATTTTCCCTTTTTAGGTGTACTCGTATGACCATTTCTATGCGATTGGAGAGAAAAATCTTCAGCCAGTCGTTCCACCCACACCATCTTCAGTCTACATCATATGTTTCACAAGTGGTACCACAGGTAATCATCAAGAAAGGAATATTAAGTGAAGTCATTCGATGCACAACAAGTGGCTTAGGTTTACCGTAGCACTTCGCCTAGGTCCAATCGCTTCTTCGCCTAGGTCTAATCGCTTGCGTGTAGAAGCATTTGAATGGCTACTCGGATCCTGCTATGAACTGGGAAGACATCCAGAATTCATCCAAATAGCCGCTCAAAGTTCGAAACTGCGGTTTGAACGCCCTTGAAAATGCTTCTCGATGGTTCACTACTTGAGAAAAATTGGGTTTAATAGTGACGAGCAAAAAGTCCAGCTTTTGCAATCCCACCCTCTGCAA